AGAAGAAGTGGGAGGCCTAAAAAATATCTACAGCAGATCTGAAAGTATCAGAAAGTCATGTCCTTAGGAAATCCACTAAAGACCTCAAAGGGCCTGATTGTTGCATCTGGCCTTTCAGCTGATCCATCTGCTGTTTACTGAAGACTCATCAGAAATAGTGTCAGTAGTAGGTTGGCCCAAGAGTTAAGAAGCCATTCTTAAGGAAGAAAAGCTCGAGATATATAAAATTACAAAAGAACTGGACTGAAAATATTATGTTGTTATGGATCTTATTGTGAGATTTTCGGTTCAGATCATTGTCAGTGCGCACAAAGGAAGTCAGGAGAGACGTATCATCGGTAACCATGAGTGTGTACATCCTATAAAACATGGTGGAGATTCTGTCCTGGTTTGGGGCTGTATTTTAATAAGTGGTGTTGGGGGATTTTGTCAAAACTGAATTTTAAACACACCAAAGCACTGCCAAATTTTTTGATTCCCCATGTAATATCATCTGGAAAGCATTTAACTGCAATGGCTTCATTTTCCTGCAAGACAATGATCCCAAACACACTGCCATTGCAGTAAAAGCAGACCTTGGTGGAAAAAACAGACAATAGAACACTATTAGTCATTGACTGACCTCCCCAGAGGCCAGACCTCAAAATTAAAGCAGTATAGGATCATCTTGACAGAGAACAGAACAGAAGGCAGAGGACATCCAAGAACCATTCCTGAAGACTCATTACAATTGTACATAATCTGTTTAGCCTTATATACTGTATTTGCATGTGCATGTGCATATACACACTTGATATTTCATTGACTGCTATGATTTTATGTTGCTTTAAACAGTATTAACAGAGCAGGTTTTCCCTTTGGCTTAGGTATGAAATAATTTCACCTTGGCGGATAATTATCTCAGAATAGTAAAATAACAGCACTCAGTTTTTCTTCAGGGGTCTGGAGTCAGCATTTGATATAATCTTCTGTGTCCTGCTTCGTGTAGAGAATATCCATTGATCTTCATCCAAAAAGACCACAATGAGCCATAAAAGCATTTCAGGGCAGTCGCCAAGAAGCACATACTCTAAAGTGGTTATGATGCACAAGGTCGTTAAATGCTGGACTTTCTCCAACTGTATGTCTGCACAAAGAATAAGCAAATCAATCTGAGACAGGCATGATTATAAGCAGAAATGCATCATGGGACTGTCTTCCTGTAGGATCTGAAGCATTGTAGTGGAAACAGAGGAGAACGCACAGTTAATTTTCATATAAATATTTATTGCAGAGGAGGTATCTTTTATGTACATGCTATCACAATATAACACAATATAAATCTACCAAATATTCCCATATATTGATGCTATAAGCTTGTCATAGAGCAATAGTTATAACAAGCACAATACAGTGGGTTAGAGACAGTATCACTCACTATACAACTTGTAACAGTCCATAAAAGATCAATTTTTTCTTTTCTTTTCTTTATTTTTTTTTTGTTCTATCAAGGGCAGTGAAACATCGGTCCTACTAATTTCTTGAATTCATGCAGAAGCCACAAGAGCAAGATTTACGACGTTACAGCGTTGAGTAGTAGTAGTAGTAGCGATAGTAGTAGTTGTATTTGCCTTTGTGTGACTTTGTTTGGTCACAAGAAATAGAAGTCAGGTTTAAATGAAAGCAGCTAACCAACAAAAATGCACCATGGTAGAGACGACCCAATTGGAGGACAAAGAAGCTACGGGACACGGCGTGGTACAAGAACAGTGGTCTTGGATTTTCACACCCGAGTAAATGGCTGAGGTTCAAATACTCACAGACTCATTGATGAATTCCAGAGAGACGGACAGTAACAAACACTTGGTTATGTATCACACTGTTTAATACACATACAGCTATGGACTGGCAGAACTGAGAATTCCTGCAGCAAGCACGCTATTGTAAATTAAAAAAGTAGACTCAAAGTTACATAAAACAGTGACTTCATTTAGTGCTGGGATGTTGCACTGTCATTTTTTGGGGTTTAGTTTTAAAATCAACATAAATGACACCATAAAAATTCCTTCTGTTGTTAAAAATGCTAACATATTGCTTGTTTTTGGTTCTTTTTCTTTTTGGGATTAAATTCAACCAAAATCATGGAGCCTCTATTCGCTCCATTTCACTTTGAAATATGAAACAAACACATCTTTCCATTTTGAAATAACTTTCCTACAGTGACAGTAAAAGAGGCAGCAGGTTATTCTTCTCCCGAGTTCAGTGAAAATGGCAGTGACTCCAAAGTTAGGTTTAAATAAAGAAGGGTCTTTTCAAATGTCGCTGTACTCATGCAATAAAATCCTGACTCAGATGATAGATGACACTTAACATCTGGTTCATAAAGATCACAAGGATCCATCAAAGGATTGCAATCAATCAGTGCTCTCTGACACCTCCCACAGGCTGGAGGTGGAGGTAATTCTCAGAAAATGATATCAGTTGCTGGATTGTTTTCATTTGAGTTGTGCCAAAGAAATTTAGTAATTCAAGAAAACTCACCGATGGGTACTGGCCTGAATCATAGTAATTACCAACCCCTAATGGGTTCTGAGGAAATTAACATGAACACAGACAATTACAATCAGTAATTCTCACAAGATACCACAATGCACTGTGGATGCTTTACTGACACACAACTGCAAATATAAATGCGGGTATTTTTTTCACTTTGATAGTTTATGGTGACTATTTAGACATTTTGATACAAAACACGGCACATCTCAAAACCTTTAAAAGATTTAGTCAGATTATTATTTGATAACTACCATGCTAAGTTTAATTATGAACTTATTAGGTTGATAAACAAATGGGGGTTCAGTCTGATTTGTATTTAAGTTGAAATGACGCCTAATATGGAGATGCAAAGAAAAACTGCAGCAGTGCTTAACCTTTAAATATAAAAGGTCACACTATTGTCAGTATTTCACATCATTCAATGACAGTTCCTTTATCCAGTTAATAAAAACTTGGATTTTATTTTGGAAGTTATGGCCACTGTTTCTATCATTTAGATAGGATCATACTTGATGAAACTTCATTCATCCCTGTCTGTGTCCAGAGTTTCCTACATTGCAGATTTCAGACTTGATGCTTAATCTGCACTAGACCATAAACTTTGAAACACTATATAAGTAAATAAAAGATGGATGTGAACAACATGACATCACTGATGAAGAGTTGAGTTTGGCATTTCGGCTGCTGTTGGGATTTCTTCTATTTTTTGGAGCCAGAAAGAACCACATGTGGAAGTGAGGATGAAGGTATAAGTCATCAACTTACCTTAACTAACCCAACCTGGTACTAGCGAGCAAAGTCCTGGAAATATTCTTCAGAGACTTTGGTTCATAGTGGCATGATCACACAGTTGCTGTAGATCCATAATGTGAATCTCACCACTGGAAGGTGCGCTATTGGATTAAGGTTTGGTGGAGGCCATTTGAGTACAGTGAACTTAACGTAATGTTCAAGAAACCATTTGAGATGATTTGAGGTTTGCGTTAGCCTACGGGGAGCAGCTATCGGACAATAGGTACGCTGTGATCATAAAAGGATCAGCAACAATACTGGGGTAGGCTGTGGCATTTAAACGGTGATGAATTTGTATTAGAGGCCTACATCCCCCAAGCTATTACAACACCACCAGCATCACCCTGAACCACTGATACAGAATTGAACCATACTTTTGTGTTGTTAACTCCAGCTTCTAACTCTACCATGCAAATGTTGGAGCAGAAATTGAGGCTTCTTAGACCAGAGGGAATATTTTTCCAGTCTTCTATTGTCCAGTTCTGGTGAGTCAATGTGAAATAGGCTCAGTTTCTTGTTCTTAGCTGACAGAAATAGCATCTAGGACAGGCTTCTCCTGCTATAGTTCATCGGCTTCAAGGTTAAGAGATGCTCTTCTGCATACGTTGCTTGTAACAAGTGGTTATAAGTATTTTTCTTTCTTTCCTATCAGTTCCAAGTAGTTTGGCCATTCTCTTCCGACTTCTCACATCAAAAATGTCATTTTTGCCCAGAGAACTGCCATTCACCGGATATTTTTCTCTGTTTTTGGACCATTCTCTGTAAACTCTAGAGCAGGAATGTGAGAAAATATTAACAAATCAGCAGTTTCTGAAATATTCATCCCAGCTCATCTGACAACCACAATCATACTACGTTCAGTCACTTAAATCACAGATTTTTCCCATTCTAAACTTCCCTATTAGCAGGTCATATTGACCATGTCTACATACCTAAATGGACTGAGTTACCATGTGACTGACTGAGTCAAGATTTGCGCTAATGAACAGTGAACAGGTGAGTGTAAACAAAAACATACCAGCACTCACACTCATTACAACTGTTGTACAGACCTCTTGCATAGACTCTTAGTACATTGAAATGCATCATAATCTATAATATTTGTCAGATCACTCGCACACTGTAAAGTTGGGCATTTTCAACATTCTCAAGGGATTGACTGACTTAAACATAGTGGGCTCAAGTGCAGTGTAGCACACAAGTGTAGCTAACAAAGTCATCTATCGCTGCAAGATCCAGAAAAAGTAGCTATGTCCATGAAAAACAAGGTCCCAGAGGCACAGCAGCATTTCAGGCAGCTCATTTCTTTGACTAAAGGTTACTTTCTGTTGCTACAGCATGGATCTCCACATTTTCGATATTTATGCTAACTGCCCTTGCTGACATGACCCAAAAGCGATTAGTGTCTCCTTCATTTTCAAACAGGGTATCTTTTGCTTTTAGGCCATTACATTAGACTATAATCTACAGATGCATAGCATGTTAATTTGTTTAATTTTGATGGATGATTATCCAGACTAAGTAATAACTTCCAGACAGTTTTAGCTAAGCCAGAAGTCTCCTTAGTGGGACTATCTGGCAAATTTTAGTGGCCACAACTACTAGACAGAACCCAAGTTTTAATTACCCAGAATGCTTCTGTTATTGTGTAAGAGAAGTTGCTTTCCTTTTTGTTTTTACGTTGAGGCAGTAGGACGGTAAACACAAAGGCAAGAACAGATCTTCTGCAAATTTTTCTGCATCTCATTTGTCCTTTAAATATTGCATCCTCAGGCACACACTTACTCACATTTGGTGCAAGACGAAGATCCAAGCTGGATTCATACACAAAGCTGGTGCAAATAACTTTTCCTTCACTACTTTTGACATATGTGAACATATCTGACACATTCATGTTAACGCTGCTCTCAAATATCACCCTTTAGCTTTTGAAACTATAAAACAGGGTCTCAAAAAAGTGAACTGAAAACAACATTATAGATTTGCCAACACATTAACTGTTTTAGTAGACAAATCGGTAGGCTTCATCTACTCTCGATACCTGGCTGTGCATGCTGTTTATATAATTCACCATCACAAAATGCTGAAGAAGAAGACACTCGCTTCTCTTCAGACTGATACAAGACAATGCTAGTTAGATAGGCACATACAGTACATCTCCGCAGACTTGGAAGCATTTTAATCTGCCGAGAACTACAATTAAATAGATCTAAACAAAAAACAAACAAACAAACAAACAAAACATGTCTGAGTTTGGTCAGTGTGTTATATCGTGTGTGATATCATGCCATGTGGTTGAAAATAAGAAGACAAAATGTACAAGTTGGACATAACCTGTCCTCAGTTCTTAATTTGTGAAATTGGCTAAAGTGCTATAGACTGATTTCTTTCCTACGCCAAGGACAAAAACTAATAAATTAACTTTAGAGCTTCGAGACCTGCATCCCTCTTTGCAACTGTTCACTTGTTCTTTGGCTTTCACTTTCCCTGTTATGCAATTCAACCTTAATTTTATACTTTCTTGTTTATACACATCAATATTTGTCTCTACAGTCTCGTCCAAGAACTAATCATAGCAAAAAAAATGTAAGAACAGCTGACATGGTGAACATGGATGTTTAACATTGCTTATGAAGTGAAAAGACTGAATTAAAAGTTGCATAATTAGTCTACAATTTCTCTTCAGGAGTTTCCTGTAATAATCTGGAATGCTCATCATGACTTTTTTTTTTGTAGATTTCACTTTTTTCCAAAATAGATAAAACAGGAACAAAACCTTGGAAAGGAAGGCAACTTGTGGATCAACTTTGCTTCCAAGTCACCGTACTAATAGTAAAAGGTGATATTTAACGATTTCAAAGTGGAAAAAAAGTATACATCAATAATTATAATATATCAGTGGTCCATTAAGGTTGAGTGTCATGCTTTCTTGCTCGACGTACTATCCTCAAAGTCCCAGGGACAAACATCTGCCTTTTTAGCAGCACCTACAGGCCCCCCTTTAGGAGTTGGTTTGCTCTGTTTCACTGCAGAAGCACTTTTGTCTGTACCCGTTTTTTCCTCAAAATCCCACGGACAGACTTCCGCCTGCTTTTCTTTGGCTGCTCCAACATTAGCGCTTTTCCTTTTTTCTACCAGCAGCATTTCCTGGTGACTCTCTACATCCCACGGGCAGACCTCGGCCATTCTTTGCTGGCCGACATGTTTCTCTGAAGATTTACTCTTGTCCTTCACCTTTGTTCTGCTTTTCTCATCATCAGTGTCTTTTGATTTTTCTTGGTCAACTGTTCTTGTGAAAGGGGGCCCTTTCTTTTTAGAAGGGGACTCCTTGGTTTTGGGTGCTTGTGAGGGGCTGGGTATCCTCTCTGAATTTGGAGCAGCTGCACTGTTGTCGAATTCCCATGGACAGACGTCGACTTTTGATATTAGTGGCTGGAGTGATCCTTTAGGTGGATCTCTCACATCCATTGGAGAGGTTCCCTTTTTCTGCTTTGTCACGTCTGGTGAGTGAGCTGACTCTGTTGGTTTTTTCAGCTCTTCGAAGTCCCAGGGACAAACATCTGCCCGATGTGTTCTGGAGCTTTCAACTGAAGATGGAGGCTGCTGGGCTTTAGACTGAGACATCGATTGCTTCGATGGTTCCGCTTGACTGGCTTGACTCTCACCTCTGTCTTCCCATGGGCACACCTCTGCTCGAATAGCCGATGACCTCTGAATCTCCTTTGGGTGCCTGCCACTGGATGGAGAATGATCAGAACCTTTCTGCTTCTGAGACTTGGCTCCTTTTGTGCTACCTCCATGAACAGTTGTGGTTTCCTTTGGTGCAATAGATACATGCTTTTGAACCTTATTTTCAGATGGAGTTGGGAGATCTTCCACCTCCCAGGGGCATACTTCTGAGAGATCATAGAGGTCTTTTCCCTTAATGGGGTCGGAGCAGATTGTCGGTTGGCTGCCACTAACTGGCTGTTTCATGATTATGCCTTTTGTGGTGCTTTGTTTGTACTCGACTGACTGGCTGATAATCATCTTGGGTTGGCATTCATTTTCTGGCTCTACATTTGCCTTTGTGTCTTTGCTCTTTGGCTGACTCTTCTTATTGCTTTCCTCTGTACCCTGGGTCTTTCCAGTCAAGCCCAAAGTCTTCTCTTTGGCACTAGCAATGACACTGAGGGACTTCTGCAGCATGGAGGCTCTAGGATGAATTGGTTTCTTGTCTGCAGAGAGATTATGGGCGCTTGCTGACTTGCATACCAAGGGAACTGATTCTGTAGATTCACTGGGGGCGTTTATGTTCTCACTGGATGTCTTCTTGACCAGCTTCTTGCCCATAAGTGTATCCAGGAGGGACCCTTCAGCTGTGTTCTCATCAATCTTATCATTTACAGTGCTGCTGGAGTCCTCATTCTGGTCCCGGACGTGATCATAGCTACTGTGTGACTTCTTCAGGGAGAACACCTTGTTCTTCAGTGTCTCTTCCTTCGCTGGTTTTGCTGGGTGAGTCGTATCCAAGGGGGTTTTCTTCAGCATGGAGATGCTGTTACGATTGCTGCCATGCTCTCCCGCCTCCTTCTCTTCACGGCTGCACTGGCGATGCACGGACTCGGGAATCTCTGTGATGCGCCTCATCAGCGAGCGACCTAACCCTTTCTTAGAGCTTCGCTTTTTCTGGAGATGAGGGTTGTTTGCTAGCATCTTCTTCCTTTTGTAAATCTCCAACTGGGAGTACAGTTTCTTCAGCTCTTCCTACACATCAATGATAAGACAGATACAAAGTTATAAGTCTTTTTTTAAAGACATTAACCTGGCTAAATAAAGAAAACAAACAAACAAAGGTCGCGCTCAAACACTGCTACAGAAAAGCACACAATCTGCTGCACAGAAAGCATGCAGCACTACCTAATGACACGTGACTACAAACAGTTTTTAAATAATGCATTACAGAGTATCACATGCTGAAAAAAAGCAAAGACGGGACAGTTTAGGACAGCATCAAATAAGAAAACGGAGTGTCTTTTAGTGTTAGGTCTGAAACAGCCTCTAAGCTCAGATCCTGAATCAGTTGGATTTCAATCTGCATTTCCCTCCGTGACAGTGAATGCTCTCAAACACCTGGATGTCACCATAAAACCCCCTCTTCTACATTATAGGCTTAAGGTACCCAAATATTTTGGTAGAGAGACTTCTTCAGCTCTAACAGACAAACAGATATCTCTGCTCACGTTGGCACGTTTTTCCCAAAGGCTGTCGCAAGATCTTATGCCACAGCCATTAATAGAATTGAGATGGCCCATTTCGTCTGGTGTCTGCAATAAAAAACTGCCATGGCTCAGTATTTTTGGAGGATTCAAAAGGTGCACAATGGAAATGTAAAAGTTGGTGGAAACACCCCTCACCCTGATGTCCTCAGGGTCCAGGCTGTGCTCGCTCCATGCTGACGTTATGCTGCTGTTGAGGTACGATCCAGAGCGACCCATGTCCAACTCGTCCTCATAGGCCTCAGACGCGATATCGTCTCTCATGTGGGTGCCAGCAAACAGGAACTGATGGAGGGCGGTAAAATTGGTCAACACTGATTGTTTCCATTACATTTCTTAAGCAAGGAAAAGCAAACAATGCAGAAATCACAATATACATATACTTACTAGGGCTGGGCCATATTATACCGTTCACGGTAATACCGGTATAATGTTAGGCAACGATAGGAAAATGAAATATCGCGATAGAAT